CGCGTTTCAGTTGCATGAACGTGCGTATATCCCTTGTTTGGAATCGTGCATGGCTTTCCCTGTTAGTTTCGTGCACAAGATCGCTTTTAATAATGATTTTTCGTCGGCAGGATTTATTTCGCTCATCGCGTACGTGCTTGCATCTAAAAATTTTTGAACTTGGTTCCGCGATGATCCGTCCATTTCCGGAATCATATTGCGGGCTTCTTTCAGTTTCATAAACGTATGTGCGGGATCTCGCGAATTTCGGACATCGTCCCGTGTACGCCCGTATGTCATTTCTATCGGTTCGTCATTTTCTGCACTCCGATCGTAATTAACGACTTCTAGTTGGCTTATGCGGCCCTGTAGTGCTCGCATGTCTTCTATCAATTCGACCAACATTGCATCTCGCGCGTCGTGCGAAGATTCCGCCGGGTCAGATTTCCAGTGTGCCTGGCTTAAAGTGGCTCTCATCCTTTTTACTTCGTCGTCCAATTCTTTGTTTACTACTTGTTGTTCTTCCGCGATCGATTTTAACGGTGTACCCGAGGGTTGATTTGCCATTTCCGCTGGATTTATGTTTCGTGAAGCGGTGTAAAATTCGATTGGATCGAACACGCTACTGTCGTAAGATGTCAATGAGAATTCTCCGCGGCTAGGGTTACTTGCGTTCGTGCCGTCGCTATGGTCAGATCTTGCGTCTGTTGGTTGTAATAGAGCGTCGTCGCGTCTCTCACTACTCGGTAGTAGGCTATTATCTATGTCACTAAGCGAAAACACGCGTTCAATTACAATGTTCGGATGTAATTCCGGTTGACTCGTCAGACTATCGTCGGAATAATAATTACTTAATCGCGGCGTACGTTATCGCGCGGATCGCGTGAATTTTCCGTCTGCTCAAGGCTCGGAGGGCTCGGCTGGCTGACGCACTATGTAGCCACGACGTGTTTCTTTGGGCAGGAGTTTGGTTAACTCCCTCGTTCGACATCTACCTACACACTTCTCTCGCTATCTAATGCGCTTGGCTTAATTTTCTATGACTTACATTACGCTCGCAATTCGCATGTTTGTGACGTGGCGCTGGCTGTTGCGGTAGGTCGTGGCTTCTCCGGTGTCACTGATATGCTCTGCGTTGTGGCTCTACCGGCTCTTTCTCGCTGCAGGGATGTCGACTTCTTTTCAGGCCTTTTCCTTGAATTCCGATCGTTTGTTCCTTCCAGATGACTGGGTGTAGCTGCGGAACGATCCCACCGTTGCCACCAGAAATGTTGTGCGGGTCGTTTCGGGGATCGATCAAGGAGTCGGCGGGAAAGAGGCACTCACCACTTTGTTCGATACTAAATAAACTTTATTAACACTTGATACAGATTGTCCTTTTTAATTCGGACCGCGACAGACGTGACGGCACGGCGGATCTCGACGAATCCTCTCCTAGTATCGGTCTTCCGTTTTTATCCTGTTCCAGGCGGCCAGTCCTTGCCGTGTCATCAACATATTCGTCAGCGTTCGCGGTATATTTCTGGGTTGCGCGGCGGTTTTTCGCGTAAGGGCCGCGCAACCCGGTTAACAGTTGCTTCACGTGGGACGATTACACAATATTTGCGCGATTAGCACGGTAGCGTTGGTAATCGCTATCGCTTGGTAAAATAATAATTCGTCGGATAAAGTATCGCTTGCCGCAATCCGCTTTGTCAGCGGTGAGCGTGATTGCATTCTCGGCGCTCGCGACACAATAAAACTATTACTGGTGGTTTAGCACAAATATATCGTCACGCAGAATCCAAAACACATTTAGATAAATATAAAAATTTCATTGAGATAAATAAATCAAATCAAAATTTGCAAACGGAAGATAATGAATTACTTTTGTCGTTTGATGAGCGTAAAAAGTTAGCAGA